TTAACTTGAAGTACGGGCCACTCCCAGCTCCAGTCTTTATCGCTTCTATCTGCCCCATTTTCAACTTGGCCACAGCCTTTTGCCTTTGGATTGTATTCAGATGGGATAGCAGTTCCCGTGTTCTCCAGCCTTCAGGGACGTGAGCTAATCGGTTTGAATGGTTAATTAGAAGTTCCTGTTCAGGCAGCTCATTAGCTTTAAAATGAAGCAGCAGCATTTTCCCATCCATGAGAATTGGGTGAGGAGCGAGTTCATACAACACACAACCCTTTCAAAAGTCTTCAGTGTAATTAAAAAAAAATGCCCAGCGTGGTGGCTCACATCTGTAATCCCAGTACTTTGGGCAGCTCAGGTAGGCAGATCATAAGGTCAGGCTTTGGAGACTACCCTGGCAAACATGGGGAGACCCTGTCTCTACTAAAAATTAAAAAATTAGCTGAGTGTAGTGGTGGGCCCCTGTAATTCCAGCTACTCAGGAGGCTTAGGCAGGAAAATCACTTCAACCTGAGAGGCAGAAGTTGTAGTGAGCCGAGATCATGCCACTGCACTCCGAACAGAGCAAGACTCTGTCTTAAAAAAGAGAATTTTTAGTCCTGTCCTATAAAGGTAAGAGGTAGATAATAACCTATTCTGGCAAACTGGTTCTTGCCCACACCATTTGAAAAGTCTAGAACCTGATTGTAAATGAAAGGATTCTTGACAACTACTGTTTGGCGCTTGATCTTTGACTCCAATGCCAAACTTGGAGAAGACAGCATGTTTCCACTGTTCTGAAAACAGTAGCTAATCTGTGCTTCCCTTTGCTGTCTCGAGTATAGTAAAACATTTATGAGGTACAGAGGCTTGCAGAAAAGTATTTTAGAAGTGGAGTCAGAACTCTACTGTGGAAAGGGGGCTGAGAGAATCATGAATCCGATTCCTTCTCTTGCCAGAGGAGACTCAGATTTGTGATATGGTTTCTCTGGGTAAACATGAGTCAGTAACAGAAGAGATCAGTAAAACTCTGGTCCACTGCTTAGAAATTAGTGTTTTATGGAAATAAGCATGAAGACAGCGCTTTTCCTCCCACTATTTTTAAAACTCAGATGAGCAGGTGTTCTATTGCTCCACGTGGTGCGCTTTTGAACTGAGAGGGACTGAGCACGGAGAAGCCCGAGTAGCACTGCCCCCACCCCGTGCCACCTGAAACTCATCATGCTGCTTTCTTTGGAGCGGCTTCCCATTTAAAAGAAGACTTAAGGGGTTTCATTTGGCTCTGTGATTCTGCTGGAAGGAGGCCTGAGTAAGGTTGAGCTGAGGTTGCAGAGGAAAGGAGCCGTTTGTCCCACAACCTGAACAAAACAGAACTATGATGAAGCAGCATTGTCCATCTGAGGTAATACCCAAGGTACATTGCCTCATGTCAAGAAAATCAAGGACATGAATACACATGGAGTGAGGTTAAGAATGGAGGTTTTACAGGCAAAAGAAGAAAAGAGAACATCTCTCTCTTCTGCAGAGAGAGAGGGGCTTCTGAGTGTGTTTTTGCACAAGGTTTTATAGACTTGTTGAGGAGGTGGTGTTTGATTTACATAGGGTCCAAATATGGGTTGGACCATGTGAGAGCTTTACATAGCTCGTGAAGAAGCTGGCTATCCACCCGAATCTTCTTATGCATATAGGTTTTCTACTTGGCCAGTGCATGTTGTCTGTCCCTTACGGCACTTGTGGTTGATAAAGAAAAAGGAAGATAAGGCCGTCAGGTTGAGCATGCCTGGCACCCAAGTAGCCTCCTCTTGTTACAGCTGCTGGCATTCGCCTGTGCAAGCTTCCAGCTTGCTTGTCTATATCTGCAGCTCGATTATACAGGCCGCTCTTTGTTAGAAATGGTTTTGGGGCTGCTTTTTATTCAAAGGGAAACCTTACCAAAGACTTCCTTACTTTCAATCTCTGACGAGATTGAAATTTAATGAAAAGCAATAGATTTCCTCCTGTAGCCCAAGAAAGAGCCACTTGACTACAGCTAATCGGTGAGATATCAAAGGAATAGGTGATCAGAATTCATGGGCAGCAATGGGACATAGGAATGTGGAAATGAGAGGTTTGGGCTCCAGGGATGCTGGAGAAAACTCCTCCTCCAGTATTCCATAACTCTTGAATACTGCTGTCTTTTCAATACAAATACAAACCCACTCTGTTGTTTTGCAGTGCCCTGTGCCCTGAATCTCTTGTTTGTGGACTGTATCCTCCAGTAACTTATTCAAGCAAGGACACACTGAAGCAAATTGTTCTGAAATATGACTATTTCTTCTTACACTTACATGACTGGTGGGGCATAGAATTTTTGATTGAAAATAATTTCCCATTCAAGTTTTTAAAGATACTACTCCATTATTTCCCAGCTTCTGGTAGTGCTGTTGAGAAGCCTGAAATCATTCTGATTTCTGATTCTTTGTAAATACTGTTTTTTAAAAAACTTTTCTGAAAACTTAGGAGAGCTGTTTTCCTTTGTCATATATTGCAGATTTTCAATGTTCCTTGGTGTGAGTTTGTGTTCATGTGTTTAAACCTAGGAGGTTATGTTATTCAACTTGAGAAGTTGCCTTTTTTTTTTAACTTTTATTTAAGTCCAAAGGTTCAAGCACAGGTTTGTTATTTAGGTAAAGTCTGTCATGAGGTTTGTTGTACAGATCATTTCATTACTCCGGTATTAAGCCTAGTCCCATTTAGTTGTTTTTCCTGATCTTCTTCCTTCTCTCATTCTCCACTCTCTGAAAGGCTCTAGTGTGTGTTGTTCTTCCGCCTGTTGTATGTTCCTGTGTTCTCCTCATTTAGCTCCCACTTGCAAGTGAAAATATCTGGTATTTGGATTTTGTGTTCCTGCATTAGTTTGCTAAGAATAATAGTCTCCAGCTTCATCTATGTCCCTGAAGAGAACATGATCGCATTCTTTTGTGGCTGCCTAGTGTTTTTTGTTGTATATGTACCACATTTTCTTTATCCAGTCTACCATTGATGGGCATTTAATTCCATATTTTTGCTATTGTGAACAGTGCTGCCATGGACATATGCGTGCACATGTCTCTATAACAGAAGGATTTATATTCCTTTGGGTACATACCTAGTAACCCATCACTAGGTTTGCTGAATCAAATGGTATTTCACTCTTTAGGTCTTTGAGGAATCATGACACTTTTTCACAATGGCAGAACTAATTTGCATTCCCGAATACAGTGTGTAAGTGTTGTTTTTTTCTCTAACCTTGCCAGTATGTGTTTTTTTTTTTGCTTTAATAATTGGCATTATGACTGGTGTGAGATGGTATCTTATTATAATTTTCATTTGCATTTCTCTAATAATCAGTGACGTTGAGCTTTTTTAATATGATTGCTTGTTGCATATATGTCTTGTTTTAAAAGTGTCTGTTTATGTTCTTTGCCCACCTTTTTATGGGTTGGTTGTTTTCCTCTTGTAAATTGAATTTCCCTACCGATGTTTGATATTAGATTTTTGTGGAATTTACAAACATTTTCTCACATTCTGTAGGTTGTCAGTTTTCTCTGTTGATAGTTTATTTTGCTGTGTGAAAGTTTCTCATTTTAATTTGACCCCAGTTTTCAATTTTGCTTTTGTTACCTTTTCTTTTGGCATGTTCATGATGAAATCTTTGCCTGTGCTTATGTTTTGAATGGCATTGTCTCGTGTCTTGCAGAGCTTTAATAGTTTTTGGTTTTACATATCAGTGTTTAATCTATCTTGAGCAAATTATTGTATGTAATGTAAAGAAGGGGTCTAGTTTCAGTCTTTTGCATATGGCTATCCAGTTATCCTGGCATCGTTTATTGAATAGGGAGAATCTTTTCCCCCTTGCTTGTTTTTGTTAAGTTTGCCAAAGATCAGATAGTTGTAGAAGCTTGGTTTTGTTTCTGGATTCTCTATTCTGTTCCATTAGTCTATGTGTTTGTTTTTGTACCAGTACTATGCCGTTGTTTCCTGTAGCCCTGTAATGCTCTGGTAGCGTGTCGCTTCCAGCTTTGCTCTTCTTGCTTAGGGTTGCCTTGGCTGTTTTTGGTTCCACATAAATTTTTCAAAAGCTGGTTTTCTGAAAAAAATAATAAAACTCAACCTACTTTTTAACATTTTTCAAGAACCCAAATGAAATCATGACTGCTCTTGGAGATGGCACTCTGTACGTTTCAATTTACTACACAGTAACTGGTCTATTAAAATCATACTGGTTAAAAAATAATAAACTTGAAGCTAGACCAATGAAGGAGAAAGGGAAGAGATTCAAATAACCACCATCAAAAACAATAAGGGCAATATTACCACTGACCCCACAGAAATACAAACCACCCTCACAGAATATGATGTACAACTGTAGGCACTTTTTTTTCTTTAATTTTGAGATGAAGTTTTGTGCTTGTTGCTCAGGCTGGAGGACAATGGTGAGATCTCGGCTTAGTGCAACCTCTGCCTCCTGAGTTCAAGCTATTCTCCTGCCTCCTGAGTAGCTGGGATGACATGCATGTGCCACCATGTCTGGTTAATTGTGTATTTTTAGTAGACATGGGGTTTCTCCATGTTGATCCATCTTGTCTTGAACTCCCAATCTCAGGTGATCAATCCACCTTGACCTCCCAAAGTTCTGGGATTGCAGATGTGAGCCACTGAACCTGAAGAAATTGAGAAATCTAGAAGAAACTGATAAATTCCTGGTCGCAACCACCCTCCCTGAGATGCAAGTTTGGTTTAACATATGCAAATTGATAAATGTCATCGTCACATAAACAGAACTAAAGAAAAAATTACCCACATGATTATCTCAATGGATGCAAAAACAGCTTTTGATAAAATTCAACTTTCATGTGTGTTAAAAACTCTCAATAAACCAGGTATTGAAGGAACATACCTCAAAATGATAAGAGCCACATGTGACAAAACCACAGCCAGCATCATACTGAATGGACAAAAGCTGAAAGCATTCCCCTTAAAAATTGGCACAAAGATAAAGATGCCCTCTCTCCCCACTCCCATTCAGCATAGCTTTGAGGGTGTTCTTTGCTCTTGGGTTTCTAATTCTTTTAATTGTGATGTTGGGTAGTTAACTTGAGATCTCAATTTTGTTTTTGAGATGGAGTGTTGTTCTCTCAACCAGGCTGGAGTGCAGTGGTGTGATATGGGCTCACTGCAACATTTATCTCCTGGGTTCAAGCAGTTCTCCTGCCTCAGCCTCCTGAGTACCTGGGATTACAGGTATGTGCCACAACACCAGCTAATTTTTGTATTTTTAGTAGAATGGGGTTTCACCATGTTGGTCAGGCTGGTCTCAAACTCCTGACCTTGTAATCTGCCCGCCTTGGCCTCCAAAAGTGCTGAGATTACAAGAGTGAGTCACCGCAGCTGTCCCGAGTTCTCACTTCTCGATGTGAGCATTTAGTACTATAAATTTCTCTCAACACTACTTGACTAGCTGCATCCCAGAAACTCCGGTATTGTTCTCATTACTTTCAAAGAACTTCTTAAACTTCTTGATTTCTGCCTTAATGTCATTATTTACCCAGGAGTCATTCAGGAGCAAGTGACTCAGTTTCCATGTAAGTGTATGGTTTTGAATAAATTTCTTAGTCTTGATTTCAAATGTGATTGCATTTGCTTTGTGACCTAAGGTACCTTCTATACTTATGAATGATCTATGTGTTGAGTTGAAAAAATGTGTATTCTGCAGTCATTGGATGAAATGTTCCTTGAATATCAGTTCCATTTGGTCTGTAGTAAAGATTAAATTTCATGTTGATTGGTTGGTTTTCTGTCGGGAAGATCTGTCCAGTGCTGAAAGTTGGGTGTTGTAGTCTCCAGCAATTACTGTGTTAGGGTTTATCTCTCTCTTTCTTATTTGCTGCGTGTTTCTGTTCTTTTTTCTCTCTCTCTGTCTGTCTCTATTTCTGTCTTTGGAATTCTGATCATTTTAGTGTTGAACCTGTTCAAATTTTCCGGATTTCAACTTTTTTCTTATCGCTATTTCTGGAAGACATAAGGTTCATCTACTCAACTTTGTTGTCTTACTATTCTAACAAGAATTTTTCACAAGTTCTGCTGTCATATTTTTAATTTCTAAGCGTTTACTTTTTCTTTAAATTTGGTTCTTGTTTCATGAAAATGGTAACACTTTTATCTCTTCGAGAACATTCATATGGGTTTCAGAAGGTCTTATCTCCTAGCACAGTCCTCATTCAGGCTGCATTTATGTGTCTTGTTTCTCTGGTCTCGGCCATTCATGTTAGAAGCATTGCTCAGATGCCTGGTGACCCTTAGCTGTCTGTGTCTGTTAGAAAAAAATGGAGCACTGAAAAGCTAAAAGCTGATGGAAGTTCTGTGATTGTAACATTTTGTCGGCGGTGGTCTTGCTGGGTCAGACCTTTCCTTCTTGAGCAAGAGAGATTCTCTCTAGAGAAAAATCATCTTAACTTCTGATTAAGTGTACTCATTGGAACTCAGTGGTAGGAAAACCTGGAGGATCTCAGTGTTCAGTGTGTACATTTAAGCACTTGTGTCTAGAGAGCTCCTGCCTAGAGACACCAAATTTTAAGGTATAGAGAGGAAACCTCCACCCTGCCACCACCGTGGGATGCAGGCACCGATTCTAGGGAGAGGATCTGGGATCTACCTACTACTGAAACATAAATTCCCTAGGTAAATTTAGCTGCCAACTCTTGAAAGCTTTGGGATCCTGGTTGCCTTCCTGCCACTGGCTTGGGATTTAGCATCTCTGCGTCTACTGTCAGGTGTCACTGACAGCTTCTGCTTGCCAGTTTTCTATATGCTGAAGGGATTGTCTTTATTTTCTTTTTATCTTTGTTGGTTTATTTATTTTTAATCATCCCGTGTTAATGTGGTTTAATGATGGAGTGAAGGCATATGCAGGTATATAACCAAACATCTTAGCTGAAGTCTGTGTATTTCTCATGTAGTAAAATCTTGATCATCATTGTATGTTTCAGTTAATCAAATTTTTATATATGCACTCTGATTTGGGGATGATGTGAGGGAAGAGAGAGAGAAAGAAAAAGAGATTCAGACGGACAGAGACAGGGTGAGAGAGAGAGGCTACTGTGACAAAACTGTGGGTCTGTGTATTTGGAAGTCAATAGGAATTTAGCCTTGTTTTCTGTCTAAAAAGCAGGAGAGTCCAGACAATGGATCTGGAACTAGGCTAAGAATCTTTGAGGCAATGGCGCAGATCCAGTTGTGTTCAATTTTTAGTCCTTAGGCTGAAAGGGAAAATAACGTAAAACACATTTTAAAAAATTTCTGGCTGGGCGCGGTGGCTCAAGCCTGTAATCCCAGCACTTTCGGAGGCCGAGGCGGGTGGATCACGAGGTCAAGAGATCGAGACCATCCTGGTCAACATGGTGAAACTTCGTCTCTGCTAAAAATACAAAAAATTAGCTGGGCATGGTGGCGCGTGCCTGTAATCCCAGCTACTCGGCGGGAGGCTGAGGAAGGAGAACTGCCTGAACCCAAAAGGCGGAGGCTGCGGTGAGCCGAGATTGTGCCATTGCACTCCAGCTTGGGCAACAAGAGCGAAACTTCATTTTTAGAAAAAAAAAAAAAAATTCTGAAAGTGGTGTTTTCTGATTTGCCCTCAGATAATTAGATATAGAAGGTAGCCATACATTTTTGGCTAACTCAGCATTCGTTGCTCCATTCAGCGAATTCATCTTTATATTCATGTTCTTTCTCTCCAGCTTAATATCCAAAATTTAAAAGTGAGGAATGCAGAATAGTTGAACTAAAAGAAACAGATCAACCACAACCTGCCTGTTCTTCCTCTCACCCAAAGAAAACCATTGTTAACATTTTGCTATATTCTCTTTATGTACTTTTCTCAGGTACTTTTATTCGAATATATTTTTGATCATAAAATTGTCTTAGAAAATAAGTTGTCAGAGAAGAACACCCACTCTTTTTACACTCCAGGCTTGAAGGTGACTGACGTGGGAATCCTGTATTTTAACAAGATATAATGTTGATATGGAATCTTTTATTTGACTGTTCTGAGGTGTTCTCTTTTTAGCATACTCTCCATCATCCCCTTCTTCCCTGCTATGCACACACATACACATTCACACATACACGCATTCTTTCTTTCTCTCTCACATGCACATTCTCATACGCAAATACAAGCATGCTCATACACATGTGCACACACACAGGCACGTTCATGCACACACTCACACTCATATGAACCAACATGCACATACACACTCTCCTTCATCTCTTTCCTCCCTGCTACACACACACACTCTAACACTCATATGCACATGTGCACACACACATATGTACAACATGCAATGTGTCAGAAGGCCATGTAGAAAATGATTGTTACTCTCCAAAAGGAAGGACACCCACACTTTTGCAATGGAAAAAAACAGCTCTGTTTTTGTAAAAAAAAAAAAAAAAAAAAGAATTTTCGATTAGGCCTAGAAAGAAACTTAAAAAGCGTTTCTTCTTTTATCTCATCGGAACTTGTGTATGTGCACACACCCGTGTGACAGAAAGAGGCAGGGACAGAGGGTGGGAGAGGAGGTGAAGGCAAGAAGAGAGAGGGCGATTAAAAAGCAAGTTCACTGTGGCAAGCTCGTCTGGACTAAGTGAGAAGCAGGCGGTTGTGGTGATGAGATAGGAGCTCGGAATGCTTCCTGGTACCAAGACTGTCATAAGTGGAATTGGGGTCTGAAAAAGTGACAGCAAAATTCACCGTTTCTTTGACAACCACTCAGAAAATAGAATGTGAGGAAGCAGGAGGAACGGAAGGTGTGGGGCCAGACATGAGAATGCACCCCGCTGCTCCACGAATGCCTAGAAATGCTGGTCACTTATAGGGCACAGGTGAGGGGAAGTCTGGACTGGTGGCAGTAGTGCTGCCAAGCCATGTAGCCTGCTCTCTCAAGGGTGAAAGATTATTCCCTAGTTTTTATAGGCCCCATTTGTCCTAGACACAGATTTTAATGTTCTCAGGTGATCGCTTGCTTGATTGTCTGTGTAACAGATCAGCAATCCTTTTTTTTTTTTCTGGAAAGGTCTAGGCAGTAAATATTTTAGGCTTGGCAGCCCATATGGTCTCTGTCACAGCTACTTATCTCTGCGGTTGTGGTGTGAAAGCAGCCATAAACATGGGTAACAAAGGAGTGGGGCTGAGTTCCAAAGTACTTTTATGAGAACTGAAAATTGCATTTTATGTAATTGTTGACATGTCCCAAGATATTGTTACTTTTTTGAATTCTTTCACATTCGTGGCTCGTGAGCTGTCTGACAAGAGACGACAGGCAGGAATTGGTGGATGGGCCATGGTTGCCCAAACCCTGTGTCCAAATCATGGCATTGTACAAGCAAAAGGGATCTCTGACCCTCTCTTTTTTTCCCCTTTTCTTCTTTTCTGTTTCTCATTGGAAACCAGAAATCGAAAACTCTGGGAAGTGAACTCTTTCTGACTTAACCTGTTAGTGGCAGTGTTAGGATAAAATGTCAGGTCTCAAGGAGCACTTCTTAGAGCCCAGATCAGACTGAATGCTGCTTTTGTGATTGCAGAAGGCATACCATCCTCTGGTACACTAGCTCCTTAGCGTCACCCTGAATCTGAAACTTAGTTCTTCATAAAGTCTTTTGTTCTATGATTCCTCAGTGCATCATTTGCTAATTTGCGCCAGTTATTCTGTTTAACACAACTGAGATATAGACATAAGCAAAGTTCCTACCCTTTAGGAACTCACTTCTTCAGGGCCTGGTTTTGATAATCCAGACAAAGCTACTTAAATGTAGTTTTTTTTTTTTTTTTTTTTTTTTTTTTTTAATTTTTTATTGGATTATAGGTTTTGGGGTACATGAGCAGAGCATGCAAGACAGTTGCGTAGGTACACATATGGCAGTGTGCTTTCTTTTCTTCACCCACATTTGGCTTTTCTTCCCAGGCTATCCCTCCCCACCTCCCCCTCCCACTGGCCCTCCCCTTTTCCCCCCAATAGACCCCAGTGTTTAGTACTCCCCTTTCTGTGTCCATGTGTTCTCATTTTTCATCACCCACCTATGAGTGAGAATATGCGGTGTTTCATTTTCTGTTCTTGTGTCAGTTTGCTGAGGATGAAGTTCTCCAGATTCATCCATGTCCCTACAAACGACACAAACTCATCATTTCTGATTGCTGCATAATATTCCATGGTGTATATGTGCCACATTTTTCCAATCCAGTCTATTAT